CCTGCCGGCCCCTGGAGGATGGGCTCCCCCTTTGAGTCTGGTCCCTCCCAAGGTTTCTTCCTTCTAGGGAGTTTTTCCTTGCCACTGTCACCTATGGCTTACTCACTGGGGGCTTTGGGTGGGGATGCTGTAAAGCGCTTTGGGACAATGTAATGTTGTGATAATGCGCTATACAAAAATAAATTTGTTGTTGTTGTTGTAAAGCAATAGGTATTCTAAAATGTATAAAATGTGCCCGTTGATTGCAATAACTGACTAAGAGGGATATGGGTATTGATGTTTTTAAATAAAATTGTAATTAATCTGCAGAGAAAAATGGAAGATGGAGAAGATACTAAGAAGAGTGCTGGATAGATCGAGATGCTCTTTTAGCTGTATGAATAATTTCTGGCATTATAGGGGTGAACATCTCATTGAAAGGAAGTTTCTCTCCTGTCGTCCGTGGTGGAAGTTATTATGAAGCACAAGTCCAGCTGTGTCTCTTTATTACAGTGTGTGAGTATGAATATCAATGTCAATTCATCACTAAATTAAACTGTCCTTTGGCCACGTCCTTAATCTCCTGCACAGGCTTGCACACACACACACACACACACGCACAAAGTCACCCATGCTTAAAACTTTTCTGAACTTGAATCACGACTTAACTTTTCAAACTCTAACCCTTTTTAAAAAGATTACTAATCCAAACAAAACGAGCAATTAAGGTAACCAATACATCATCTCACATATTCTTGGTGAAGAATTAAGTTTGATTATGAATTGAAGTGTGTGAAGACATTGAAAAATCATCATCCAACTGATATTGGGGTTTCTGTACTAGAGTTAGTGTCTAGTGTTACAAAATGCGCTTCCAGAGCTGACCTCCCCAAAGCCTGCATGAGGAATTGATCAATTCAGCATTCAGACAGAGCAGCATGCGCTTCTGTGACTGATATCTGTTCACTGGAGGATTAAAATCTGTCTATTGGAGCATTCATTGGGCCCCCACAAAGACTGTGAGCTGCCTTGGCATAATACTGTCACCATCATTAGGTGACTGCAAATATGCCTGCTACTGTCATACTACCATGACGGGATGAACCTGAAATACTGGTTTGTGTCAGTGAGAGATTAACATGTGCAAGAGTCTGACCTTTCTAATGCTCTGATGATGCATACAGAAGCCAGCATCAGTGAAAGTGCGATGCCAGCTGCGCTATTTATCACCACTCAAACCATGCATTTGCATGGGGTCCCTGAGGTTTGGAAGCCCCCTGTTGACCACAAACAGTCAGTGCAGTAGGGGGCAGAGGGCCCCAGAAATGACAAACCCACCCATGTGTGGCGATTATTAGAAAGGAGCTACCAAAGAAATGGGCCGATGATATTTGTATGTAAAACAGTGGCTTGTGTCACCAAATGCCTGAGACTATTAATCTACGCTCATCAAAATAAAGAGGTTGTATGTTTCAGTTCAATACTAAAAGTATAATACTTATAATGAGCAGTGAACAAAGTCGGAAGGTACCTTTGACATCTACGCAGTGGTTTATGTTTTGAGTTACGGTGATGCCAGTGATGCAGGGTAAGATTCCCAGTTTGAGGAGACACGAGGAATGCTATGAGAAAGCCAAGAATTATGATGACCTATGCTGCTTGGCGCACTGCAGTCCTCTTAGTAATGTCAATGTATGGATTGTTGACGCTCATAAAGTGCCAGTGAGAGGTTTGTAAAAGCAGTTCATGAAAGCTTCAAAGAACGCTTAGACCAGTGTTTCCAAGCCCAGCCATCGGGGACCCCAAGACCGTCCACCTTTTGCTCCCTCCCAGCTCCCAGTCGGAGCAAAAACGTGGACTGTGTGGGGGTCCTCACAGACTGAGCTGGGAAACACTGCTTTGGACTGGCCATGTGTGGCTGTGTTTGGTGGGCGATGAAGGAGGTGAAGGTGTAGAGGTGGATATATGGAATGGGAGTTGCCACGCAGGAGGTGGAATGATGAAATCCAAGCATAAGGATGTAAGGTGAGGAGCAAGACGGCACGAGGGGTAGCATGACTGTGGCACAATAGTGAATGGATACTTTACAGGAGCTTAAGCCAGACAAGGGAGGAACAGGAATTTGGGAAGGGTTTAGCAAATGGAGCCAATGTCTTAAATTCCTGTAAATCAAAACGGAGAAAAACGATTACATCAGCAATAATGTTTCTAAAGCCAGGGATAACATCACATCGGAGGAAGCAGCGGCTTGCAGATCGGGGGCCATGAAACAGAGGAGCTGTGACCCCGACAAGAGATCTGAACTGTAGAGAAGGCATCACATCTGCAAGTAACTCTCTGCCTAGGTGGGCAGGCCTGGTTGTGCTGCCCAAAAATGATGGGCAACAGAATATTTCCCAATACATCTACTCCACCGTACCTCTGCTCTAGTGCACCTGTTTTATGTCATCTTCCTTTGCCGAAGACCAGATCCAATACTAAGAACACAAGTACACGAGGACAGTAAAATCCCTGGATGTTGTACTTAGGATGTTGTACTGCAAATTTTGCGGATATATCGGTTGCATCCTGGTCAATGAGACCAATCCCATGATTCATTGCGCCCCAAGTTTGTTATTGGGAGGCAAGTTAGCGAGACCAATGTTGCCAAGACCACAATCTTTGCGTTCACAGTATTGAGAAACAACCATAGGCTTGGTTCTTTTGGAAAGCCAAAAAACTGAAAATAGGAGACAATGGTGTTATGAAAAGTAAGTGCCAATTATCACGGTGGACTGGAATCACTTAAAAGGCTCTTGTCTGCATTTCAAAGGCAAATTTTTACAGAAAGTGTCCAGGGATGTACTCTGTACTGAATAAGCAGTTTTTGAAGATGGATGATAGATGTAACACAGGGACACCCAAATCATTAATTAGGGCTCAAAAGTACATTAATCCCCAGTGGTGATGAGTAAAGAAAAAAGTAAATCACCGTAGTATACCAACAAATTTCACCTGAGGGACAAAAGACCAGGCGTCTTGGGCATATTCTTTAGTTAGCAAGGTAACTCCACCAGGTGATCCTTCCAACATGTGAAGGTAAGCCAAGGTGACCATTGACTTTCTGTCTGTCGTCATCGGCAGTTCTTTTGTTACGGTCTCTCGGCAATACCGAATGTGCTTGTATTTTTCATTTATCTAGTAGAAATCTGGCCTTCCTGGTGTTTTGGTTTGAATGGCTCTGCTGATGTTATGGTAATGCAATGGTTTGTAAGGTATTGGACACCTCGTGTTCCAGAGCAAACTAGTGCTTGTTACAGATCATTCACTGGAAGCTCAGCTTAGCAGAACTTGTACCTAAATCGGTTCCTTGACAGCTGTGTGCTTAGGAAGTATTATCTGCCTCATTTTGAACCTCGTTTTGGACAAGAATATCTACTTAGTAAATTAAGTTAGTAGTAAAAGTGAGGAGACCTAGTACACTGAAAAAGATCACAACGCCTGGACATGTTGAAGGCAAAGGAGGAAGAGGAAGACGAGCAACAAAGTAGATCGAATCAATCATCATAACAATTGTCAGGCCTTTGAGAAAGCTCAAGACTCAGACAGAAGACAGAACATTGTGGAGGAAAGCTACCTATAGACTCTCCAGGAATTTAAATCAACTTGATGGTGCCTAATAATATCAACAAAATGTGACCCAGAGGGCAGGAGGACCAGAGGAAGATGGTACCAGGACAGTGAGGAGCAAGAGACAGCAGAAGCTGCAATGGTGCCACAAACATCACAAATTCAGATGTGGAGGCTTCAGCTGGAGTTGATACCAAGCCATAAAAGTTTGTGAGTCTATGAGTTTGAGAACTGGTTCCACTAATGTCTTGCTTAGAGACAGTAAGGATACATCTCTCCTGCATTCTCATTATTAACTTTATTTCTGGTTAGATGCTACATACAATTGGACACAACCTACTATTACTGTTAAACTGAAATACACCTGTAAAACAAATAAGTCATTCTTACTGGAGTGCAGAGGTCATTAGACTTCGGGTGTCAGGTCTACCATCTGGATCACCTTCAAACGCAACTTGGCAAGTCTTTTTAAATACTACTGTTAATATGCCGGCAGAAGTCAAATACAAATGAAGCTAGTCGATGACACAGTCATAAAAAGATTTGTGACGTAAGGTTCCTAAGTTTTCCTCCTGATGATACGATATAATTAGTGTTGGCTTGAAGTGGAATGAAACCTTGCCTAAATGAGCTGACCTAGCAACCCTTAATGCACAGGCAGTGACCCCCGGCGACTGAGCTCCCTTCCCAGAGCTCCATTAAATCAGGAGGAGTTCCTTGCGTTTGTGCCTCTGAGAGAGTTTCTACGTGCTGATTCTGTGGCCCATACAGCAAGGTTTGGCGAAGCCCTTCCATCTCCCAAAGGCCTCCTTCACTGTGATTTTGGTTACACTCAGTGCTGGTAACTGCCACAGGCTACACAGCTGTTACCCAGACAAGACAAATGGCTCATTGGTCAAAAGAGGCAAAAGTTCCAAATGAAGATGAACAAGGAAACTATTTGAATATAAACTGCAGTATTTTACTCCTGAAAAATGGGGCCTTTTCTGAAGAATGGGCCTGATGCCCAAGATATGATTTGCCAAAATAAGAGAATGATGTTGCAATCATTTTTTAAAGGCATCACTTTCCATTCTTCGGAGAGTTTTAATCTAACCATTCAGAGTATTTACAGCCCTGTATCACTCGCTCTCCTGAACCTCCATTCAGAACCGAATCACTTTCTCTCTCTGCCACTCACCAAATAGACAGCTGTGGAAAAACTTTTCACATGCGGGAGTAACGGCCAATATGGGAGACACAGCCGGAGACCAATTCGGGAATGGTAAACAAACAAACAAACAAACAAAACATAGATTGAAAGGGGAGATGGGGAAGATAGGGGCAACGGAGCGGGGGGGGGGGGGGGGGGGGATAGTGCAGAGACGACCACCGATACCAGTCTCCCAGCATTTCAATAGCGTGTCACTTACTGCCAAGAGTCGAACCAGCAGCTACACCTGGAGGAGGGAGAGACAACAGAGGGATGGAATATTTATTCATGCACTCATTCCAAACTCATCATCCTCAATCCAACATTCCAACATCAAAGGCACAGGTGATTGGGCCCAGGGCACTGGGTTACCACAGGGGTCTCTAGGGGTGAGAAGCCCTTTCAGAGCACATGGGGAGTAAACAGGAAGACCTATGCAAACCTGAGAAATGCAGGGGAGGCTCTACAGCGGGCTGACAGTTCTGTGAGGCCTAAGAGGCTGTGCACGTCCTCTATGGGGGCGGCCGCTCAGATTATTATTTCATCAGCGCCTCCTTGTGAAGCATTCCCCTTACTGCCTGAGGCAGGGGGGGTTGTGTGCACTTACGTGACACAGCTATTCTTCAAAACCTTCACTGAGGCGACTTTCACTATTTGTGCTGAAGAGTGGTATAATTAATACTAATTTTCTAGGTACAAAACCCTTGCAAGTATTTTGTATTATTACAATATCAGAATATATATGATTACCATAATATTTCATAGCGCTACTTTAAACTCCAGCAAGCTCAGTTGGATACAATTTCTGAAAAGTCAAGCTTTTGCTAAAATCACGGTGAAATAAGATGTAGAAAATTTTAATTTGTTATATATAATTAGGAGAGGAAGAGGGGAATTAGCTGTTTGAAGAGCTTGGATTACAGTTAGGCTGTGTGGACACAGATATCTGGGTTACTGGGATACTGCAATATAAAAGCATTATTTGCATAATTAAACATGTAATTGCACTGGGTTGGCCATGATGTTACTATGGGTGTATACTTTGAGTATTTAATTACAGACTTTAGCCTCATTTGTACATAAGGATGCCCCAGTAGACTTCTGCTCATGTTTAGGGTATGATATTAAAAACTGTTATTATCAACTGCAAATGTGTGTTATAATTGGTTGATGTTATGCATATAGGTAGCATCTGCGCTAAGCGCTACGCTTCCCGGGTGCAGGTGTACGTACAGTTGTTGGAGGATCCTCGAGGCGTTGGCAGGTAAGAGCCGGCCCTCCAGGACTTGGCCCGAAAGCCGCGTTTGCAGCGTCCGCAGTCCTGGCCTGTGGTGTTGTGCTCGCAGTCACACTGCAGGTTGCCGTCCCGTACCGCGCACTGCGAGGCGTGGAGGTTGCACTTACACCTGAGGGGAGGGGAGAGATGGCAGACGGGGGGGATCGGTGACGAGCTGGACGCTAAGCTAACGATGCTGCTTCTATTAATACGCAGCGGCCCAGCGCTAATCCCACAGATCGTCATGCGACATTAATAAAGATCGTAATCCTTGCACAAATAGCCCAGCCTGTCCAGAGAAACGATACACATGAAAGATGACTTACATCCTTTTGGACGCCATAATCATATTCCTTGGAAAAAGATGAAGGGAATTAACAGCAGATGTCCAGAGACAAGAGATGTGTGTCACAGATAGCAGCACTTCACATGCCACTGAGCCCAAGAGCTCTGCCTAAAACAGGAAGTGACCACACTACCTTGCAGGCTGGGAGAACTGTGCACCTCACCTGAAGTAGGGCAATCTAAACTCCACTCCAGAGCCTCACAACAGTAACAGGAGACATAAACAAATTTCATTTACTCACCAAGTCCTCCATGCATTGAGCCCTATTTCCAGTTTTCACACAAGTAAATGTATATCCTTTCAAATTTATTCCAAGCATAATTTTTTAAAAGGCATAGGCTGTCCTTGGACAAAAGGTTACAAGACCTTTTGTTCCGGACCACAGTCCATTAGAGAGAAGTCATTTGTTTAAACATGGATAAGAGATTTCGGGGTGGGGGTGGGGGTGGGGGGGGTAAACAAGCTCTTCCTGAAACACTTACTCAGATAAGGAGTAGCCCTTCCCAACCCGGGCCAGGAGGAGTGCTTTCCGCGGAGAGAGGGCCCCCATACTGAAACAGCCACTTCTCTAATGCGCTGCTCGCATGACTTTTAAATTATAACCTTTCCAGATGAGTGAGCGAATTCCAATACAGCTGGTTCTGCTGGAATGTGCAGCCATCCATCTGCATCAAATATTCAAGTGGCGGCCCCCGCGAGCTGGTCCGCGGCGTACCTTGGGACTGCCCGTCCTGTGCCTATGCCCCCCCGGCACCGCCCTCGACGCATCATAATGGCGGCCGCCATCGCTCGTAGGGAGGATAGACCTGCGATGCTGCACCTCATGAAGGAGCCCAAATCTGAGCTAGAAATGTCACAGGAAAAGCAGAGCTGAGCGGGGGCCACACAGCCACTGGGGCAGGACACGCCCCACTTGCTGCCACTCCCCCGCCACGGAGAACATGCTTTAATCATCCCAGAAACGAGACCGCGGCACCCCAACACACACTCCTGGCATGGCACTGTGGCATACTGGCCCAGTGACTCTGACGGACGTCCGCCATATGGCTTAACCCAACACTCACGGCACTCTCGTACCTCTGACAGACCGCGGTAACCCACATGCTGGTGCAGTTCCACCTCTGATGGACCACAGAAACCCACACCCTGGTGCGGTTCCACCTCTGATGGACCGCAAGGACCCACATGCTGGTGCGGTTCCACCTCTGACAGACCGCAAGAACCCACATGCTGGTGCGGTTCCACCTCTGACGGACCACAAGGACCCACATGCTGGTGCGGTTCCACCTCTGACGGACCGCAATGACCCACATGCTGGTGCGGTTCCACTTCTGACGGACCGCAATAACCCACACGCTGGTGCGGTTCTACCTCTGATGGATCGCAGAAACCCTCACACTTGTGCGGTCCCACCTGTGACGGACCGCAAAAACCCACACCCTGGTGCGGTTCCACCTCTGACGGATGACAGATTGAAGATTTGTAAGTAATTAACAGCATAAGTGCGAAGACAACAGACGGTCAGGAATTAAACCGAATCTCTGATACGTTACTCGTGAAAACTGTGTCACTATGCGGTATTAGCAACCCCCGATTCACGTGCTTCACATCTTGCATTTGAGTTTTGATGTAACTCTGCGTTCGAACTAGTCAGTTAAAGACATTTTTTTTGCCTTTATGGGAACAGAAACACCTTATCTTCTTAGAAGCTGCGAGACACAAAGACTACATTTACATGAATGCCGCATAAACAGCATAAAGACTGAGAAGGAATGAGGCGCCTTCGCCCGCCCGGAGTGAAATCTTACCACCGGGAAACAGGAAGTTCCGAAAATGCCATAAATAGGTCTACAGCGGGAGGAGAGAGAGAGTGAGAGAGAGAGAGACAGAGAGATAGGGAGCGGTGAATAGCGGTAACCTTATGCACTGCACAAAGACAGCGAGAATGAGAGACGGAAAAAACCCACACGGCACTAGAGGGACAGACTGGGGGGGGGGCATCAGTCTGGGGGAGCCTCTCATCACTGAACCGCTGCTCCTCAGACGCAGATGAAGAGAAGCCCTGCGCGGTGCAGCCTTTTCATTCTGCTTAATTAAATCAGCCCTGCCTTCAGAAGCTTCCAGATACGGCGGCGCCTCCTGAACCGAGAGGAAACCCTTAAGCCATAATTAAAACGGTGCCTCAGTCACAGGGCGCTGTCTTTCCAGGCTACGGAGGGGATTTTAAGGAGATTCAGACACGTCCTTCAGCCGCCGGTGTGGGCCGGGGCGTCTTCCGGCGTGGCGCTCGTCTCAGGTGTCGGCGCGCAGAGGGCGAACCGGACAAGCTCATCCGGCCGGCCCAATCCTCGCCCTCCAGGAGGTGGACTCTGACCTCTAGGCGTGCCCCAAAGCCCATCTCCAGGTGTCTTGCTATCTTCTGCTGGAAATGCCCCCCCCCCCATCTCTCTCCGCACCAAATGATACACAAACTCGGGCCGTGTTAATGCAAGAGCTTCAGTGCCCAGTCATGAAACAGGAAGGGGGGCCTTAGCATCTTAGCGCTGCTTGCCGTTCAGGGTAAGGACTTTGTGGCCGACAGCCAATCACAGCACACAGCCAACTGCTGCTTATCAGCATGTGCATCTGACCAGTGCTCAGGTGCAACCTCTCTTGGGGGGGGCGACTTAATTTTTTCTTATCTTGTTCCTCAAAAGGTATCTGCTCATTTGCATTTAACAAAAAAAAGAACAGCAAATATGAAGCTTTGGATCCAGCTCTCTGGTTTCCCATGTCAGATTGCTGCAGAGCCCCAGTTTGTCACAGGTACTGATAAAAAAAAAGAAGAAGAAGCAGGAAATAAATAAATAAAGATGCTGATGGAAGGCAAGGGCCTGACAGCTGGATCCCTGCCTGGATAAGGAGCGTAATACATCCCAGAACATAGAGCCCAGCATGAATATGCAACATCACCACAGCCATGAATATTCTAAATTATTGACGTTCTGCAGGAAAGGGAAGAAAATGCAAAGTGGACAGTACAGCCCTCCTGATTAAAAGCAAGGAGCAGGCCAAGGACGGAATGAATCATTCTGTTCTACTGTAAAGGACATCGAAGGCGATGTGAGCCCATGTTTATTAAAAGGCGTGGCTCACGCGAGGGACTCGATCGCTGCGCGCTAACGACCGGGATTGGGGAGCTACTGCAGTTAGGGAGCCCGGGGTCTCCATGCAAAGGAGGCGCAGAAATTAGAGCCTTTGCCATTCAGCTGAGGGGGGGCAGGGATGGGGCAGAGGGCAGGAACCGTTCGGGGTTCAAGTCTATTTGGCTCAGAAGCCAAGTCTTGCTGCTGGCCACTGAAGAAACACCCTGCAGCGCCGTGGGTGAAAGGGGACTGGACCCCTAAGGTCTGCTACTGGCTTCCATTAATCACACCCTTGCAGGACCAGTTAGATCCATGTGTTAGAACCAGCTGAATGGCTGGATGTTCTTGTAATTACATAATTACCATCTGCTATATCGGTGGTAAACTATTTTAGGGAAAGTGTTTACGGACGTATCTCTATACCTATATTTATCTTTCTGTCTCCATTATATGAAGCGAGGGAGAGGTTTGTAGGTAATAGGTAACAGGACAATGTAGTGAGCTCTGTAGAGTAAACAGCATCTGTTTGAATGGTGTAACACCATTAAAGAACAGCAGCCAAGGGGCTTCACTCTAAAGCCATCAATTTCCCATAACTGCTTCTCCAGTGCAGGGTTAGAGAGGACTGCAGAGAATACGGTGGAAAGCCGCCTTAGGAGAACATGTAAGCTCCACACATAGAACAATGGCCCGGAACCCAGCTGAACCCAGCACCCCAGAAGCACGATGGCCACAGGCTTCCCAGCGAGATACCGCACCACCAGACGCCTCTGAAAAAACAATAATTAATTATTGAGTACTGTGCTGTGGGAGAATTCTGAGAAGTTCTACAAAAACGAGAGGCAAAGAGTTTAGATTAAAAAAAAAAACAGAAAAACGTGGACTGGAAGTTCTTGTGGCATCAAAGAATCTAGAGCAGTCACTTGTGGCAGCTTTATTTACCTCTATTCACGCAAGACTCCCTCCCTACGTCTGTCTGAAACGCTCCACCCTGCACATCAGAATGAATATGCATCTGAAATTAGAAATAATGGCAGCGAGGGTCTCAGCTAATAGGGGTGGAGGTGCAGCGTTTACCCTCCAGAGGGGAGATATTCTCCATGCAGAGTGTCTAAAAATGTACAGAAAAACACCCCCCCCCATCTCAGAACCAGGGAAAATGCTTTACCAAAGCAGTGCTGTCAATCAGGCTGCCCATGACCGAATTCTGGCACAGGAAAGACCGCTCACTTTGCCGCCGAGATTTACGTCCTGCTATCTTTTCGATTACCTTTCAAAGAGGAGTATCAAGCAGTACAAGAACTCCAACAGCTCCTCTGTCACCGCGTACATTGAGATGTAGTCGGGTCTCCATCTATCAGCGCATTTTGCTTTATTTTCCAGGCCCTTCACAGAGTGTGTCTCCATCCGTTGTGATCATAAATTTGGAAGGAGCAAAGTGGACGAGTCTGTGCTTAAGGTCAGGCCTCATAAATTTGCTGCTCTGAAGGAAGGTATTGATTTTCCCAAGTGGAGGACGCTCCTTTGGCATGCGAGCAAGAAGGGATTCTCTTTAAATGCACTTTTCCTTTCACGCTTGGCTCCCTTACCCGGCGTTGAGTAGTCTCTGGTTGACCTCTACTGTTAAAGCCGACTTGAAAGGCTAGAATTCCCTAAGAA